AATATGATTCTCAATAGATTTAGGAGCGATAACTTTTGTTGTTTATTTAAAAACAGTAAACGATTATAAACCAAATGTTAACTACCTATTGGTATTATAGGAACTGTTATTCAGGAATACGGATTACAAGATCCCATTGGTTTAAGGGCTCACCCATTCATGCTATGCTAGCGTTTTTTCTGTGTAGCTGTTGGCACCGCAGACAGGGATGGCCAATTCAGGTAGCAACTACACCAAAAGATAGCCATGTTATCTATCTGCTTTTAGATCTAGTAATAAAAATAAACAAAATTGAATTTTGGCCACGTTTTACCTCAAAATACCTGGATGTGCAACGGTCCGGTTTTTCAATTAGGTTTCAAATGGGAATTAGTAGAAGTTAATCTTCTATCAACGTTGGTATTTTTTCTGGAAAATCGCCTATAATGTTATTTGTGCGATTTGAATCCTATTGTGGGTTTTTAATTTACATTACCTGTTTTGACTAAAAGCAATTCCGGGCTTTATTAATAACAGACACGTGGATTTTTTGTTTATAGGTTTTCGTCAGTTTTAAGTTTAAAGTAATAAAAGAAAAACATCGAGTTATAAAATATTTTTTTTATTAGTGCTTCTCCAACTGCTACACCAAAGAACAGTTATACAAAACATTACCTTTAATAAGACAATAAATAAATACGTCAAAAACTTAAAAAACTAATAGGTCTAAGGTCTACATCATTCGTTCCCACTATACTTATGTAATAAAAAACCATAAAACTACATGATATCGTATAAATAAATATAAAATTAATAAAAATTGTGTATTTTAAATTACACGGGTGACGTTCTGTAAAAAGTTGTCATAAAATGGAGTTATAGTGTATACACTATCCACAGAAAACAAGTACGTTCTTTATGTTTTTTGCTTGGATTTTAAAGTTAAATAAAAATAAGAATGAATAGATTTAATAAATACTTAACTACAAGTTTTAAATAGTATTTACTAACTAAATAGCAAATATAGCAAAATCAATAACCGGGCTTATTTACTTACCATTTTCTTCTTACATGCATGTGCTAATTAAACCATAAAACATAAAATTATTTAAAATAACACAGTCAATCTGTCTGAAAAAGGCAGTTTTCGGGAAAAATTGACCGTATATGTCTAGATTATATACCGATTGTTTTTTGTTTTGTTGTCCTAAAAAGATGTAATAATTGTCAAATAATCAAAATAGGGTGGTCCAGTAGTACATTTGAAAATTATGAGATTGCCATAAGCCGCCTGGGCATCAATCAAGGACCAATACTTTACAAATTATCTCTAAAACAAATCATTTCATCAAATTTTTATAGGAGACAAAAAATGTTTAACACTAAATGATTACCTGAAAAAATACCATTTGGAAGTCACTGGCGCCCGTACTAAAAAATAGGGGGGGTCAGTGAGTACTGGACCCCCCCTATTTTGATTATTTGACATTTGTTTTTTGTTTTGTTGATCTCAAAAGATGTAACTATTTATGTTGAAATAGTGTACCAAATTTGAACTTAATACCTTATTAATTACTCGAATTATTAAAAAAAATCTGTTTTAAATTTCAAACTTTGTCGCCCTGTATATCGAACATGAAGCTCTAAATTGAAAAATGGTATTATGAAAGTCTTATTGTTTTAACTCAAGGAATATATGGTTAAAGGATTGACCTCCTTTTTCCGGACACCCTGTATAGGCGTCTGGTAGAATGTTTTTATACTAATTAATAAAACAAGTTAAACTTTTGCTTTCGTTTAATTTTTGTACAAACTTTTTTTTACAAAGATTTACAAACTAAAAAACAAATATTTAAAAACTTAAAAACAAATTTATAATCTGTGGTTACGACGCGGAACAACTTGACCGGTCCCTCCGGTTCCCGCGATAGTTCTAAGGATCACTTTCAGTCCAGGATGGCGATTGTCGAGTTAAGAAAACGCTATTCTCATAGGAGAAGTGGGCGTTTTTCTCAAGTTTTGACAGGCTGCATTATTGAATTTAAGATAAGTTAGTGCGTTCTTCTCTCGGAAACTATTTTCTGCTTTAGGAGAACCAAACTATTGCATGATTTTAAGAATGCAGCCTGTCAAAACTTAAGTGAAACACGCCCACTTCTCATGAGAATATCGTTCTCTCAACTCGAGAATCGCCCCCCTGGGGACGATCGGGAAAGCGCAGGAAAAAAACTCGTGCTGCCTCCTTAGCGTTGCGCCCACACCATAAATAATCATCATTTCGTTATAATCAGAGAAGGAAAACTATTAAAATGATATATAATGACAGCATTAAAAATTGACAGCACTTTTACAATGATTTTTTAATATTAACAATGCATACTAAGTATCCTAGCAATTTAAATTTGAAATTTAAATTTAAAGAATGCCCTATGCCCATCTATTGGGATTGGCTATCATTTTTTTATTCTTATTACGCTTATCGTTTGCGATAAATAATTTTAATTTACCAAAATATGCTTCGAATGCGAGTAATGACTTTCGGAGTAATGACTTTCGGCACATTACTTTTTTCTGTGGCGCGAGTACAGCAAAATTCAAAATGTAAGTATAAAATAGGTATTTATTTAATATTTATTTTAAATAAAATATTTTTTTTTACCTTATAATAATATAACTCCGTAAAAAATAAAGCTAAAATATCATCATGTCAGTTAAACATAACCTAAAAATTATGTTTTAAAATATCAAAAAAATATTCTGAAATTCTTGAAAAAAAATAGTACGCAAAACCTGGCGCTGAAAGCTTATTAATTGCCACGCACGCAATCTGAAATGTATGCTCGGCTATAATATGTGCTTTATAGACTATAATGTACAGTCGTATGCAAATAAAAAGCTTACACGTATTAAAATGAGAGGTACTTCATTTGCCAAATCACGAAAAATAGATTAAAAAATGCAAAGCAGTGGCGTTGTGTAATACCTTAAAAAACTCGAAGAAGAGTTTTTTCGATAAGCAAATAAAAAATACATATATTGTCAAAACATTTAAATACATAACACAGAATTAACATTTGGTCATAAATCCCAGTTTTTCTATTACTTTTTCCAATCTATTAGGAATTGATTGAATAATATTTGACACAATATTTGCATCAAGTTCTTCCCAGCACTCATGGTTTTTTTCAAATAATTCGTTGGTATTTTGTGGTCTAAAATTTTGATTATATTATTTTTTTTACAATAATTCCCCAAATATTTTCGATAGGATTTATATCAGGACTAAAACTGGCCCAGGGCAGCAATTCCACATTATTGGTTAACAGCATTAGCAGTGTGAATTGGACAGTTATCTTGTTGAAATATAAAATTGTTGTTAAAATAAATTTGGTCAACAGAGGGTAGAAATATGTTTTCTAAAATGTTAACGTAATTTTCGGCATTACACCAGGTCCATGAATACTTATCCAGCCCTATATATTGACAGAGAAACGCCCAGGTCTTGATGAAAGTTGGTTAGTATACTAACCAACTTTCATCAAGAACCACAGTATATATACTGTGGTTCAAATCTGGTATTTGCTGGACGATTACACTGTTTAAAATATCTGCGGTGTAAAAAGTAATCCTAAAATGGTGTCAAAATCCAACACCAAGTGGTGTTAATATAACACCATGAATTAGGGTTGAAAATGAACACCAAAACGGTGTTTATCTAAAATATTTGAGAAGTGCACCTACCCAGAAAAAAAGGAATAGTTCATTTAACCCAGTTGACACATAAGTATTTATATTTTTGTTGATCAGGTGATGTTCTTAAATCTCGCCTCTGTTGACTTACATGAATGTATAATATAAACTAAGGCAGTCATTTGCTTTGGTGTCACACTACAAGTTGTTCGATACTAAAGATACCTTTAGTAGGTGGAAACAGCTGTCAATACTTGAAGTATTTTAAGTTAGTGCAACGCACTAAAAACATTATCTCTAGCGAGTTGAAGGTTTCATTTTCTGGAATAATACCACTGGTAATATACTAGTAATGCGTCAAGGAACTTCCTGTTTCCTTTTTTTTTTCCTTTTTTCTGTGTAGTATGATAATTTGACCACAAACACATAATATTTAACACTGAAAAGGAGTTCAATTTACACCAGGTAAAATTTATTTTAATACTGTGTGAAAGTTAAATTAACACCATTTTAGTATTTGAATTTACACCGCCAACGAACCTTATTTAACACCATTTTAGTATTTGAATTGACACCGGACCAACGAACCTTATTTAACACCATTTTGGTTTGTATCGATATAGACCACTTATGGTGTTAATTTGGTGTTAAATTGGTCATGAAATTTAGAACAGTGTAGCATCCTGCCCAGGATTGGAATTTCTTGGCCGACCTGTACCAACTTTTCTTTTAGTTGATTGTTCATTTTCCCAACTTTGTAAAATTTTCAAATTCGTGCTTTTATTTCTATTGAAAAACTGCGCTACGATACGGATTTACCATCCTTTTTCAATTTTTGTAATTATACGAGTTTTTTTTTTAAATTCAGATAACTGACGAGGCATTATTCAATTAGATATTAAACTGACAACTCTCATTCTAAGGCTGTACGCTTTTTATTTGCATACGATTGTACCTACTATTTTTTGCAAACCATAAATTCATCCATTAAAATATTATATAGGTAGGTATGTATATTTACTTAAATTTGCATTAATGCGGTGTTCACAACTAAATGTATCTAATATAATTTGTATGTGGTATACTGAAATGGTTAGTAGTATAGCAAGTACTTGCTAGTGTGTTACCGGGGTACCCGCGTCAGACTTGGTTCAGAAAATTAACCTCCGTCAGATCCTCCCCTCCACAAAGGTTAATATTATGCATTTATAAACACAACTCAAAGATATCAATGTTATTATTATTAAATTAGTGCTGTTAGTAGTTTCTTTACTTTTTTGTTACCATTTCTTTTTAAGTTGTGTGAAAATTTGTGATTATATTAATCAGACATGGAGTTACAATACAATAGTGCGAATACGCGTAAGTTATTTATTATTTATATATATAATACGATATTATAATGTCGTTTTAGTAGGAACCAAATAATTATAATTATTAGGTATATAATTAAGTATTCCTGGCGATATACTTATTTACATTCTCTTTGCATTACAATTCTTTACACGCGCACGTGCTAGATCTCTAGATACTTACCTAATAAACTAACAAAATCAAATTATAGTTTGCTCAAAAAAATAAAACAAAATTGTTCAATCCCAATAATTTTTATTATTTATTCGCAAGATGTATAAAATTACATATAGATTTATGTGTGCATCAATTTATCAATTTTGCTTAATTAATGTCTTAATTTAAATTTATTAAACCATTTATCGCACCTCAATAGCGTAAACAAAATACTTTTAGTTTAATATAAAATTTATTACATTTTATTTGACATTTTAAACAATTTTATCTATCCAACATTCACAAGCTGTTTTAGTCACGGGCTGAAGTAAGTAATATTGGCTTTTGGGCATTTATGTTACGGGCTGAAGCGAAAAACTGAGGTAAAATTAGTCACATGTCAAATATTTAACAATTAAAATTGGCTTTAAAATCTTTTTGTGTTAGTCGTATACAAAGTATAGTATGCAACTCGTTTTATAAACACTCGCTCCTAAGAAAACTCGTAACTGAAATGGCGTTTATAATACTACTATTGTTTTATATATTTTTTTTATAAATGGCGTAACATGATTTAAATAATTTAAATCTGAGCAATTTAAATATTAATATTTAATATATTGGTAAAATATTCATGATTGAATAAATATTAGGTATACTTTTTACAAGTAATATACTTATATAAAGTAATATATATATATTAAAATTATATAACTTGGTAGTTTAAAAAACTAGTTTTTAAGAAGATTATTTTATTTTCGAAAATATGCTTTAAATGCATTAAAATAATGTCAATTTTAAATGAAAAAGGTACTATAATAGTAGTACTATTATTGCGGCTAAAAAAAGTAATTAATTGTTTTTTACGTTGTAAATATGGTTCCTACCGATGAAATAAAAAAAATAGATTTTTCATTACAAATAATAAAGCAAAACCTTTCCCACAAAATTTCCAAAAAAATACAAGTAGGTAATACTTCAAAATTCGATGCACACTTTATTTCTGGATCTATGCTATCATTTATTTTAATAAAGAAAAGACATGTATTTTTAATTAAATCTTAAAATATATTAAAAATAATTATTAGCTTAGATTGTCGGTAAAAAAGAAGAACGTCCCATAAACATTTTTTATGTTTGGTTTGTACTTAAAGGCTAACCTTTTTTGGTTTAATAAAAGTATTTTTAGGCATATTTTATGCATTTTACAAAAAATAGTAATTATGCAATTATTATTTAACTGGCAACTTATAATATATAATTTATAATTTATATAATAACTAGACGACAAATTTTCATGATTTTTGAATTTTAAAAATAGGAATTGTTAGTTTAAATAAATAAATATAAAAATTTAATTGGTATTGCTGCGCTATTCGAGCAAAACTCGAAAAACAACCTGGAAGATATGTTTTGCGATATGTAACACATACATAGTTTTTTTATTATATTTTATTTACTTTAGCCTAACTGAAAAATTATCAAAAATTAGTATTAAAAATATTTACTAATGATTAATAGACTAATAAATTTGATATAAGGCACAGTATTTTTATAATAAAAATTATTTTTAAATATTTATGGGTTTCGCCAGAAATTTATCGTCCAGAAAAAAATGAAGATTTTTTTTTAATAATATAATTATTCAAAATATTTTCAGCACGTTAAGCAGCCAATTTTACATGCCGGTACCCTCAGTAAAGCATTAGGCAATTTAATAAGCGAAATTTGAATTATGGTACTATCAAGTAACCAGTGGCCATCAAAGGGTTAAATGCTGTGATTTAAAAAATGCATAAATGTCTACTAAAATACATAAATAAGTTTCAATGTCTACGCCATGGTCAGTTTTTGGCGTATTACTTCCCCGAATGAAATAAATGCGATATTTATTTATTTTTTGTTTTTAAATTAAGTTATCCTTCAAATAGTACATTTATTAAAAAACAATTCTTGAAATTATTATTATTATAACAACGTCAACAGAACAATACTTACTTATATTAATTAAACAGGTTAATGTATGTACCGACATAATTTACGTATATATAAAAATTAAATATAAAAGACACATAACATGCGTTTATACAATTAACTAACGTGTTATGCTATTTTACGTATATTTTAAATTATCCTTACAAGCCAAATTAAGGAAATGTAATATTTGCAAAAGGTTAAACTCCTTGACCGACATAGGTAGGCATCATAAACTTGAAACACTTGTTTAGAAGTAAAAAAATAAGCCTACATAATAGAAAAATAAAACAAAACATCTATCTAATTGGTTTTATGCTTAAACAGTTCATTAAATTAATTATGTTTTACCTACAATAATAGATAAAATAAATTACAAATTAATTTTTTTTTCAAAAAAAAAAAAAAAATTATAATGTTTTTTAATTTTATGTACTTATACCATAATAATTAAATAAAATAACTTGTCGCCTATTATAATGTTGTGGTAAATTCTATAAATTTACCAATATTTTACATTTAATGTAAACATAATTTAATATTTTTCCTAAATTTGTATCTTAAATAAATAGGAATATTTACATAAATTTAAAAGTCATTAATTAAATATACATTAATTATAACAGTTATAATATAACTATAATTATATATTAGTATTAATAGTAAAGTAATGCTTTCAATCTTTAATCATAATAAAAAAATATTGTTATAAAAATTAGCAAAAAACTAAATTTTAAAAAAGCATAATTTTAGATTTAAAATATATGCATATATATATAAAGTATATATATATATATACTGGTACATACGAGTATATGTATGCAAATGGGTTTATTTACCTTTAAGTTGGTATGTACTTAATTGCTTTTCAAATTAAGTATTTATTAAAACAAATAATTCCAGATAAGCCACTGCTGTGTATAAACTGCAAAAAATATCTGTGTGTAAATTTTTTGTGTAAAAATTTTTGTGTAAATTTTGTGTAAAAATCGTGTAAATACTTTTACACCAATGTTTCTAAATTGGGAATCAAAACTAAAACGTGTAACCACTTGTTACACGTTAATGTGTTATAAACTTATATTTAATAAATATCACACACATTTGTGTAAACTTTAACAAATATCGTGTAAAATTTGTCCCACTCTTAGTGCCGAAGCTAATCGCCATTGTGTTTGCTTTTTTTATATTTTTATTAAAAACTTTGTGACCATTTAAAAGTATGCAAAGTATCGGAGAGAGCGTCCTCTACAACTTCAAAAAAACCTCCAAAAATCAAATTTTAAGCAAAAACGTTTGTTTTTAAATTAAATCGAAAACGAACTTTCAACTTTGACACCTTGAATCTTGGTTATTATTAACTTATATCACATAATTTCGGTCTCAGGAATATTTGGTATCACTTTGCCCAGACATTTCAGGGACAACTTGTATAATGAAAAAACTCAAATAATATTAATATTATGCAATAGGTGTAGAACTTTATATAATTCAGGATAGTTACCATAGTAAAAAACGAACTTGACAGTTGTTGAATTAAAATGTACAAAATTTTAAATAAAGTTAAAAACTTTCATAGTTTTAATAATGTTTGGAATTATTAGTTTTTTAATTTAAAACATATTATGGTTACAAAATTAAAAGGAAAAAAAGTATCTCATTATACTATAATAAGATACTTTTTTACTTTTAATTTTGTTACCACCTTATAATAATAAGTTTAAACAAAATAACCAAATCCGTCGCCCAAAAACGAAAACTGGAAGAAGACCAGGAATTAGGTACTAAGGTACCTACCTAAAGATATAGGAATTTTTTATTTTCTAAAAATATAAATGAATCTCGGGTTAATAAACCAAGATAACGAGGTTAATAAAACGTGTTAAAAACTGACCTTTCTTGCCAATTTCTCGTTCAGTCAAATTTTCCAAAGGTGTTTAAGTCACTTACCTTGGTAAGGTCAGAAGAATCAAGATTATATAAATTATTTATTACAAGAAATATTATTTTAATTATTTGAAATAATCATGGATAAAGATACATGCAAAAATTATAATTATTGTTATATATTTATATAATTTATAAATACCAGTTCGTTGACTTTAAACTTGACATTGAATTTACAAAAACTATACTTATATAAATAATATATTTTTTAGAATTACCAATATTATAACTTAAAATAGGAAGCATTTCATAACTGTATTATTTTAAGGAGGAACTAGTTTTTTATAGCACAGATTCAAGGTTTTTTTATAATATATTATTTATGTTGCACCTTGAATATAAAATTTAAACGTTAACTTTTTGTTACAGGAGTATTATGGTTGGCAATTCTGGGTATCATCATGGTTTGCAGTTCCTATTTAACATTTGCATACAATCCACTACAAATAATCCTCAGAACAGTAAGTTACAAAAACTAAAAGTTTTTAATGTATACCAACTATTTATTTTTATTTTTAGTTTCTTACATTAAAACAAGGAAGTATATTTTTTAATTTATGGTCCAATCCACCATATGATGTTTTAATAAAAGTATACATTTTCAATATAACGAATTCAAATGAGTTCCTAGCTGGGACAGATCCGAAGCTTAACTTTACTGAAGTTGGCCCATATTATTACAAGTAAGAATTTTATAATGGAATTAAAAAAATATTTTTTCTTATAAAATTTTTGTTAACAGGGAAATTTTGACTAATGAAAACGCCACCTTTAATGAAGATGGAACTATTTTATTTCACCCAAAAAGAAGAATTGAATTTGATAGCGTCAGATCTTTAGGAAATCCAATGACAGACAGAATTATTTCACCAAATATTCCAATGATTGTAAGTTTATTAACTTTTTTAATTTGAATTAGTATAATTTTTGCACAAATCAATAATTTTTTTTTTCAGGGAATACAGTCTTTTTTAAACCAAGAATCATTTCTTAAGAACCTGGCTTTTTCATCATTCAGTACATCAGTTGGAGCACAATCTTTTTTAAACCTTACAGTGAATGAATATCTCTGGGGATATGAAGATAAATTGGTTGTATTGGCAAACAAATTCATGCCATCTTGGATTGACTTTGATACTTTTGGAATTCTCGATAGGGTAAGTTTAACATTTTGCTAGAATCATAACATGTATTCATATTTTTTTTGCAGTTGCTAAATAAAGACAACAATAACGTGCTAAAAATCTCAAATAATCCAGATCTTACAACTGCTAATGCATTCCTGACTCCTCAAGAAAACAAAATGCAATATCATATCGTAGAAGTTAATGGTTCCCCAGGATTAAAAGAATGGGGTTGGCAAGACCCTATTCGCAATGAAACAATAGAAAGCAACAAGCGTTGCCAATTGGTGGCTGGTACTTTTGAAGGAACCATTATGCCAAGCTTTATGGAGGAGAATACAACGTTCCAAATTTTTAGAAAAGCTTTCTGCAGGCCTGTTCCAATGGAATATATTGGTAAAGGAGAGGATAGAAATGGATTTGAAGCTTATAACTACAGAATTTCTGATATGTTCTTAGAAACACCTGAAGTTTATCCTGAAAATGAATGTTATTGTGTGAAAGGTAGATGTTTGCCAAAAGGTTTGGGACACCTTTCACCTTGTTATTATGGTATTCCAATTACAATGTCTCATCCGCACTTTTTTAATGGTGATCCGAGTCTAGTTAAACAGGTGAATGGAATGAATCCAGATAGAGAAATCCACGATAGTTTAGCACAAGTCCATCCTACATTTGGAGTTCCTTTAGATGGTCACCTTAAAGTACAAATCAACTTGGATGTGGGACAAACTAGAATGAACTACAGAACTACACCTTTGAATGGCTTGCACTTGCCATTATTCTGGTTGGAACTAACTGTTGGTGATTTCCCTGACTTGGTTTACTATTCAATCTTATTTTCCTGTCATATTCTTCCCGTCGCCCAAACAATTATTATGTATCTTTTGGGCTTCATAGGTTTAGCTTTAATATCAACTTCAGCTTTATTGGTACTTTTCTTTAACGCTCCAAGTAAATTTAATGACAGGTTAAGCTTAAAAAAAGATTATAGTGCAATACCAACTATTACAATCCACCAGCAGTATTTTAAACCCGAAATTAAAATATCTAAATGTTAGGATTTAAAAAATAGATGTACGTCTATGACGTTTTAGAGACTGAATTTAAATTATTAAATGATTTTTGTATTGTGAGTTTTGTAAATATTGTGCGAAAGGGCTTGTGTGATTTTTATATTTAAGAATAAATATTTTATTTATTAATTTTATTTTTAATATAACCCTTCTTTTAAAACCTAAACAGTATTTGTATTATATAATTATAGTTTTCTTACACCCTTGAGGTCCAACAATATCGTTAAAAAAGGTTATACAATTTTTAAGGTAATAAACCATAATAATAATAATAATAATAATAATAATAATAATAATAATAATAATAATAATAATAATAATAATAATAATAATAATAATAATAATAATAATAATAATAATAATAATAATAATAATAATAATAATAATAATAATAATAATAATAATAATAAAGTTCAAAGGTATGTGTACATTTTATTGGGTAATTTATGTAATTAAATTTGATAACAAAATTTTGATTTTAATAAACAAATATTGTCTTCCTAAATATTTACCTACTCATTGACTTATGTACAAGGTATTTTCTTATAAATCCTCTATAAAATATTTATTAGCAGAGATCAAAAAATTTAAAATACAAAAAATCATCGGTAAATTTAATAAAATAGCACTGAGATTATTTTTTTCAATGAAACACCCTGTATATTTTTTAATATTTAAATAGTTTGTGTTAAGGGTTTTGTAAATAATTGACCCTTATGCTAAACGCGAGAATCATGGTTGCCATGGATAAAGAACTTTTACCCTAAAATAAGCATGACGTTTGGAACAATTATTAGCGTTAATAATAAAAACATGCCTATTTTACTACGTGTGTTCTTTATCCATGGCAACTATAATTTTTACGTTAAAATAAGCCAGGTTTTTGGTTCAATTATTAATAAAATGTTTAATTCAAACATAAACAAATTATATATTTTTAAAATATACAGGTTTTTCTATTAAAAAAATAATGTTACAGCTATTTTATCAATTTTACCGATGCTTTTTTGTTTTTTTTAATTTTTGTAAAATCTCTTTAAATAAAGATTTTAGAGGGGTGTACCTGGTACACTGTACCATTCATACGAAAACACCCTGTATGTATATTTAATTACTATTAATTTAATATCAGAAATAAATAAAAAAAACACTAATGTATTTATAAAATATATTTAATGCAATACCTACCTATTTACAATTATTTACATTATTTTAAGATTCACAGTAACATCTATCACGGGTGAGATCACAAGATCAAAAAGGACTAATAATATTAAAAAAGTGTAGAATAAATTTATATTACGGATTGGTATTCTTTTGTGATTTAGTTTTTGATTTGATCCAAGGTAAATAGTAGGAAAGTCTGGTGTATACATCAGGAAAACCCGGTTTGGCGCAGCCTGATCCAAACGAGGTTATCCCCGCTAAAATCCATCTGCCATCTTGCATTGCACATTGTAAAGGTCCTCCTGAGTCACCCTAAAATATTTAACATTTTTATAAATTAATTAACTGTAGCCCTTGGGCGAAATGCTATTTCGCCTACTAGTGGGCTAAGTGCCCCCCGGTTAGTTTGGATATGAAGCCACAGTAAAATGAATGGTTTGATAAAAAAAAAATTTGTTTAGAAAACATTTTAAAATATATATTATAAATTTTGTAGGCCTAAATGATTTAGGCTAAATCAAATATACGATTAGAAATCAAGAAAGCTTAAATAAATTATTTACTAGAAAACCAAATATTCCACATTAGCGGGTAAAAAGGTTTATTATAAGTACATTTAATATAAATAATTTTTTTATCGATATACCTATGATCACTTATTTTGTTTATTAACTTTGGTTAGTCAAATTAAATTTTATATTAGTTACCCTAAATAGAATGTAAAATTGACAAACATAAAGATTTTTTAATTCGAATAGACTGAAGTGTTTAATTGTGTTGAAAATATTGTTATCAAATTTTAAACATACTTTTAAATAAAGTGAAAATAAAAATCCTCCAGCCATTCAAAAGAGTTTTGACCTATAGTTTAAAATATTATTATATTTTCTTGCTTGCTTGCCCTTAGAATAACACTGTTTTTAATTTTTGTCATATATTCGTATTTTGAATTTGATTTTGATTTGATTTGAATTTTAGAGCTCTATTACTAATGAAAATTAATAATAAATATTTACAAATTTTAATAAAAAAATTCCTTAAATTTACAAAATAATAAAATTAAATAAAAAATTACATATTACATTACATATTTGCAAAACTGTAATATTAAATGAAAAAATACAGATAAATTCGAAATTGGATCAAAATTAAATTAAAATAACAGAAAACAAGTATTACAACTGCAGAAAGAACAAAATAAGCACCCACCTGCTTTCAGCTGAAAAGAAAAGATTGTGTCAATTCAATTGATTTTTTGGATGCTTTTGATACTGTAGGTATACACAGTAAAAAATTTTGCCCGTGTAAATTTTTTAGTGTAGGGGTAAAAATATTAGAGTTGATTTGTAAGTGTAAAAGTTACACTACAAAATACACTAGGTAGCATTTAGTGCTTATTAACTTTATTAGACACATTTAAAGAATATGAACATTATTCATTGGTACATTCACACTATTTATTATTAAAATAGGCCCGTTATTTCCATTGCGAATTAAATGCGAGTTACATCTATTTCAATGTCTGGATTACTCTAATTTGTGAGTTAACTCGCATTTACAATTAACTCGAAGCTCAGGTACAAGTTAACCCAGACATTGTGAATTAACTTAACCAAATGTTGGTTTATTAGAAACACAGCTAATCAAATATTATAATTCTAAATAAAGACATCTTTTTTTGTTGCCACTGCAGCTTTTTAATTTTTTTTAATTTTCATTTTTAATTCAAGTTCTTCCCTTTGAAACCCAACAAAACTTAGTTTTTCTTGGGTTAATTGTTCGGAAAGTAGTTGTTTAAATTCCTGTCTGTCTTCTTTTTCCTGTTCTAGCCGATATTAATTTACTGTTGGTTCTTTCAACATTTTGGGGGTGCATTCTGTCCAGTTGTTGGCTTCTCCTGCCCTCCCATCTGTGTTGAGCATCCCATCGCTATCGACAACAAATTCACCAATTGGGATGTCTACATTTGCTTTTGGCATTATTGCTACGATTTGTACCTCAGCATTTTCTTTAACATGCTCCAAATTAGTGAGTTCATTTTTCATGTTCTTCATACGGACTGACTCATCTTGATTGCAATCGAAAAGGGCAGTTAAACCATATATTTGATCACCTAATATTTCTTTCACTGTTTAGTCTATTTCGTCCGTATTTTACCTGAACATCCCCCAGTTTGTCTTATAATATTCCTGTTTGCCATAATTTTGACTTTTTATATTTTTTTGAGATTTTTATACTTATTTATTAGGCCTTTTTTATCTCGTAATACTCTAACAGGGCTCGTGGCGTTAAACGTGATTGTAATACGTTCCCAAGCATCATCTTTCTGCTTCCAAGTAAACTTCCCACTTTTTTTACATTCGATGAACCAGATTAACCCGTAACCGGTACTGTGGTGTCTGGGAGACACTCATCAACGAACAAAGCCCTGTCCCACCCTCACCTTTTGTTTTAAAAATCTGTCGCTTCCAATACTTTTAAGTTGAGCAGTTATCAATATGCTCTCAGACTTTGAACAAGTTGGATTGTCAAACGGACAAATTATTACAAGTCAAAGTGTTGAGGTGTCTAGTAGACCACTGTGTACCGTTTACGTAATTTTTATAAAACAATTAATTCGTTTTGGATTCGCAACAAGGGCCTTCTAAAAGTGTCCAATGTGATAAGAAGGGCTTCAAGAAAACTGTAATGTAGTGGTTTTATAAAATCTACAGCGATATAAGTGATATAGATGACTGTAGTATACTACATAACCATTATAGTGATTATAATCACATAAATGTCGTTGAAGATATATCTTCAACGACATTTATGATGATCATTATAATCACAGCAGCGATTCAGGACTTGTCTGTGAAGAGTCTATAGAAAATAATTTTATAGGGTCAGATAGTGAAGAATTTGAAATTTTTTAAGAATTAGAAAAAAAAACAAAAAAGTTTCTACGGAAAAAATAATTGTAAAAATTATCTATAGTTTGAAGCAGTTATTTTTGCTGTTAAAAAAAGATATATTTGAATTTTTTTGTTTATGTTATTTTTAAAGGTATATTCTTCGAAATAAAGATCGTTTTATTTTGTTTGGTTTAATATTTTTTATAGTTTAATCACAAAGTTTGCACTACTGCACTTTTTGTACATGTTTTGATTAAAACCTATTTGTTTAAATTTTTCTTTTATTTAGGTATTATTTTTGGTGATATTCTAACTTTATATATAGTTCCTAGTATCCCCAAAGCCTCAGATAAAAAAAATAATATAAATTATAATTTTAAAAGGCAAGTGTCACTCACACCCCTTAGTACCGTTTATGACCTGAAAGTCGTACAGTACCGGTTACGGGTTAAGCAGCAACTGATCTTCTATTTTACTAAAATTGGTTGGTCTTAATCTGGACTTTTTTTCTCAATCTCACTCATTTTTGCTGATAATACTTTACCCAAAATTTAATTTAAGCTTTTACACAAACATTCAATTAACAACGCACTGCGTAGACACCTTTAAAAATTCACTTTATCAGAGCGTCCATAAATGGTTTCCCAAATTTAAATAAAATCCATAGATTAATAATGGAATCACGGGTACCAACATAAAGATAAACTTCTTAACTTAGAGTTACTAAACTCGGGTAGCAAAATCATTGGAAAAACCCATTACAACATTACTTCAAGTTAACTTCGAATTTAAGTTAATCCTAGGATTACTAACACGAAAGTTTACTCGCATTGGAAATAACGGGCCTTAATGTGTTAAATAGTGATAAAATGTACACTACAGTGCATGTCAATTTCTTTGTTTTGATGTTACTAAGAGCTCTTT